GTACCTTGGAAGTCAAACGGAATCCGTTCCGGAAGTCCGTTCAACTTCCAAAATGTTCGGAAACCAAAGCACAGCTTCTGATTGGCTGCATGAAGCTCCTGCAGCCAATCGGAAGCCGCAGAAGCACCGTCTGACGTTTGGGTTCCAAAGAATGTTCTCATGCTGGAACAGCCACTTCCCAGGTTTGGGAGCCAAAACATCCGAGTACCAAGGCGCACGGGATCCAAGGTACAACTGTATGTGGAGCAGACACAGTTATCCTTTGGATTGTGCAAACAAGCTTTTAATACAATCAAAAACCAAAAAACAACAACCCTAGGTTTAAAAAATATAATTAAAGACGAGCAAAATAGGATGGATCACAACAACAGTAACTTAGCCCGAACCAATTTTTAATGGTGAAAATGTTAAAAGGCTTTTCAGCTTGCCTTTTAAAGGGAGGGGGCCAATCAAATCTCTTTAGGGTGAGAGTTCCATGACATGGGTGCAGCAGCTGAGAAGGCCCTGCCCCATGTCCCATCCAGCCACAACTCTGAAGGCAAGAAGGCATGGATGCAAGAAGGCAGTGCTGAATACAATGGATGGGCAGGTTCACAAGGAAAGGAGGAGATGGTCTTCTTCTAATTTAGGCCTTGTCCAAGAGTGTCTGACAGCTGCTGTGCTTTGGACTGATTGTGATGCAGTGAAGATGAATAAAAGCTGGTCTATAAAAATCTATATTGTTGACACATCCCAAACCTGATGTACTTTAAAACACACACACACTTTTGCACTTTCTAGGAGCACCATATCAACAGGTTTCTTCTGAGGGAGGAAGGGCGCGAGTATAACAGCTCGGATGATAGGCAACTAGGGATGTAGTAAAGGGCCCGTCCATAGTTTTAACGAGGCGGAGTGCTGGAAATTTATTGCAGCCGCATTTGTGCCATTATTAAGTTAGCCTTTGTTCTGCCAGAACCGTTTTTAAAAGATTCCATTTTCTACTCAGCTACTGCAAGCCGGCAGATGTGTGCTGCTTTGTGCAACTTTCACATCGGCAGCCCTGTTTGTGGGACTCCTCTCTTTCCTGAGACCACCCAATTCATTGCACATGTAGCTTCAGATGGATTCAAGATCCCTCTGGCCTCCAGAAAAGAAAAGGAAGACTGTAATAATAGACTAACCCACCCAGTTCAAAAGACATGATCTAATACTGGAAGAATTGGCAACCTAAAAGTGGCTGCTGTTATGGAAGCTTTGAGAAGGTGGCTCAAGAAACATATTATGCTGGGAATTTCTCTCTACGGTACTTAAAGGAGCATATACAGAAAGCTTTAAACATTGCTTTTTGGGTTTGTTCTTCGAAATTCCATTTATCTGGGAGGTTTATTAAGTACAGGATAAGGGGATAAGGCTTCAATCCACCTTCTGGTGATGTTTCTCATGATTGCAGCTTGAGAGGCAGTCCATTTATCCCTGCCACAGGTCTCTGCCATGGATGCATTCCTGCAGAATACAGTCATAACTTAGAAGTCGAACAGAATCCATTCCGGAAGTCCGTTCGACTTCCAAAACCTTCAGAAACCAACACGTGGCTTCTGATTGGCTGCAGGAAGCTTCTGCAACCAATCGGAAGCCATGGAATCCCCATCGGACGTTCTGCTTCCAAAAATAATTCACAAACCGGAACAGTCACTTCTGGGTTTGCAATGTTCGGGAGCCAAAACGTTCTACTAGCAAGGCGTTCGACTTCCAAAGTACGACTGTATCTGTGAGGCCGCCGCTAAGTTCACAGACAGGCTGCAGTTGCGGATCCCAGGCAAGCAGGCTTAAGATTCAGAGGCAGAGGGTGTGGTCTATGGTGGATCAGGCTGTAGAGCACAAAGGCATGGAAAATGAGAGGGATGGAGCAAGTCCACTTAGCATCTGCCAAGGACCAACTGAGCACCTGACTTGGGATATTACTGTTTTATTAAGTCTTGTAGCGTCTTGATTGGTTTGAAGGGTCAACGGACAGTATCCATGTGGGTACTGAAATCTAGAGGATATAACTGAGCCACAGAGTTTAATTTGCTGATGAACCAGAGTGTTGATGGTATAGATGATAAGGCACAGGAGACTTGCTGCTGGAAACTTGGATTCAAGCTCACTAAATTTTCCCAGCCAGCTTGCTGTGGTGGCTACATTTGCATGATGAAATGTCAGTTGAGTAAGCCAAGACATGCACGAGCTTCACAGCCACTTTGTTTGTGTAAGCTACGAAGCTACAGGTAACCATATTCCTATGATGTCTGAATCAGGAAACCAAGGTTAACAGATAAAATATGGCTTCTAGATCCTGGTTTCTTTGGAAGCTATTTACCCTAGTTGCCAGTTCAGACGTAACGGAAAGCTGAAGTAGCTTAAGCTTCCTGGTTCGTATACTTGACTGTGCAAAGGGAGCATGTAGGTTGTGCGTATCACAGTTTATAAGCCAGGATTTGATGGTGCGAATGCATCCACCGTCTTCAGAGGGAAGCCTGAAGTCATCCACGGTGCCTTCAGATATTCCTGAGTTCTGGCAACGTCAGAGAGCATAGATGAAGGTTTGCTTAGATAAAGATTGATTCCTTTCCCGCCTCTCCATCGCCTGGGTTCCACTCATCTTCATAGGTCAGCCATTGTTAGATGTCTGCCCTCTATAAAGTTTTCAGAACAGATTTAAAAGATGTTTCCTGATGGCAATTTCTTCAATTTGTCACGGGGAGCTGTGATGAATTGTGGAGCAAAATACTGTGAAGTGGCTTGAGAGCAGTACATAATGATTCGTGGCAATATGTTAAATTTAACTGGAATACAAAATTGGTGATAAGAACTGCTTTTTTTCAATATCGTCTTTAAAGTTCTGAAAAAGCATAGGAATGAACCGTCTAGCTCAGAAGGAAGCTAGCGCAGTGCTCTCCCAATCAGTGTTGGACTATTGTTTATGCTGATGGGAGCTAGAGTCCAGGACATCAGGGAGGCAGTAAATTGAATCTCCCTCGCTGATACCATTAGAAGACAGTTGTGAGTCCAAGTTGACCTTTAAATATGATGGAATAAAATCCCAATTTTAGGTTGCTAAACTTTTTATTTATTGTATTTTCAGCCCTCTAAGGCAGTTTACATAACACAATATAAAATGCACTTGAAATCACCAAACAACATCCGTACAGTGCCTGGAAGATGAAAATGCGGTTCATTTAACTATCATTGATGTTAAGATGACTAACTTTATTGTATCCGTGTAATCTATCCAAGGGCTTTTTAGTTTCTACTGAGATTGTTTTATTTTTGTTTATAAATTTAATAAATTTTGTTTGTATTTGTTGCATCAGTAACAATAAAAACGGGGGAGGCTCAGCAAAAAAATATTGAAACTGAGTTAAGGCACAAGCAGAAATAGTTCAAAAACATAGCATAAGACAACTGTAAACGAAATTAGCAGTTTCAAATTTAAAACATTTAAGGAAAAACCAATTTGGAACACTTTAAGGTATGCTTAAAGCTTTGCATAGAAGAGGCGTGGCTCAGTTCACTGGGGAGGGAATTCTTTAACCAGTGGGTCACCACTGAAAAGGCCCTTCAAGAAAAAAATATTAATATAGAGAGTGGAATTCAGTGTTGCTACTTTTGATCCAGTGGAGGTGTCCACTAACATGTGAGAAAGGGAGACATTTCCCACCCCCACCCCCAGTTCTTGCTGCAGCCCTCTCAGCTCCATGAAAATCTGCTCCAGAGGGTTGGGGGCTTCAGGGGAGAACATGGAAGGTAGGGTGGGGGCTTCAGGGGAGAGAGGGAATTGCAGAAAAATACCTCTTTCTCTTATTCATACGCCTCCACTGGATTATAAGACAAGCAGAACAGCAACCTTGGATTTCACCCATTGAAATCACACAAGAAAAGAGAGTATCAACCAGCGCTGGTGGACTTAAGGATGATATGCAACAACATATTAAAGCTACTCATATAATGTCACTTATGAAAGGCAGCTAATGCAATACACAGGCATTTGCTTTGATTTCATTTGCACATCTGTTCCTTCCATTGTGGCAAAATATTCTGCTTTGGCAGGAATTGCAAATATGGTCACAAGAATTACATAGCAGTTTCCCCAGTAGCTGCCAGTTCACAGCTATACAATCCTTAACTTCTCTTATTGGATAGTATAATCCTGTGCTTTGAAAGACTCTTGGATTCACTTTTGCAGTTCTTTGCCAGCAGCAGAGTTCTTGCCGCAGCCAAGAGTGTTAAAATGCAAAGGAAGTATACTTCAAAGTCTTTGAAAGGGATTTTATCATTTTATTTTTTTAAAGTAAACAAAAGACCCTTTGCTTGTTTGTTTATTACAACTATTAATTACTCTGTAGGTCTAGAAGAGTCTTGTTCCCAAAACAGATGTCTTATTGGTGGTTTTACCTGGGGACACACACACACACACACACACACACACACACACACTTTTTCTAGTTTGGAAACGTTAGAGAAAACACATCTTTTTCTGCAGCAGTAAGATGTTCTGTTTTCCTCACCCTTCTTATTGTCCTCTGTTCAATAAAACTTCTAGGGTGATTTACATAATACAGTAATCAATATTCCAATAGTAACCTGAAAACACCCCCCCCCCAAAAAAGTTTCCCTGATATTAGACCATGCACTGCAGTCATAGTATTTAGGTGCCTCCTTTAAAAAATAAAAAGTATTTTGCCAGGCATTTGGTGATTAATTGCACACTGATACTGAGAGTATATTGCTGGTATGGATTTATTGTAACCTTTATTTCTATTTCATGGGTTTGTATATTTATCAGGTCTTAAGGATAGTTGTTAGTTGCCCTGAGCAAGATATAATAACAGACAATAAATAGTTCTATAGAAATAGGTTTCACTGAGATTGGTCTGTGTGCCCTTTTTGGGTACTAGCTCACAGTCAACTCATTAGGGATGAAGATATTTGTCAAAGTTAAGAGTGCAAGTAAAATGTGATCTACTTTTATTTTTCAGAATGACCAGTCTATGCAAGATACACAGATCATAGGGGGAGATGACTTCTCAAAGCTGGCTGGAAAGGTTTGTAAGATTTTTAAATAAAACGAGGCCATTATGACACCAGGATCGGACTAACACCGAGATTCAAAGATAGCATGATTAGGGCAATAACAAAACCTAGAGAGAAGCAAAAGAAGCAAGATGCTAATAATTACCTTCTCCGAGAAAGGCAGGGCAAAGAGAAACAGTCACCTTGGTTTCAGCATGACCAAGGGTGCAGAATCGCAGCTGGGTCCACAACTACTATCAGAGCTAAATACGTACTCTTTTGTAACTGGATATTATTGACAGTGAACATGTGAGCTACTGATAAATATCCCGAAAAGGATTCTAGCCCCGCATCCTGGAGGAAAAGGCATTGTCTACACATAATAGTAAATTGTCATTAGCACTACATGCCTGAAGTGGACTTGCACAGCCAGGTGGAGAAATTTGGTAGCGTTTAGTTTCGTTTTCAGAGAATCCTGGCTCGCCATGGCATACTAACCAGAGATAGTAGTTTACCACAAGCTCTGATGAGCTTCTACACAAGCCAGTTCCAAGCCATGGGTTATGGGGTTTGTGATCAACCACAATCTCCGGTTTGTATATCAGAGCAAGCCAGGATTCTGCAGAAGCAAAACTGAAGTGCTAACCCAGGGTTGGCTAGTCTGTGGCCCTCCAGATACTGTTGGACTACACCTCCCCTGATCCCTGACAGCAGGTTGGTGATGATGGGAGTTGCAGTCCAATAAAATCTGGAGGACTACAGGTGCCTCACCTGTCACAGAGTGTTCACAGCTCAGTCCGGTGCATGTCTAAGTGCCATTGCATTCTGTAGTGCTCACACCCAGGTAAGTTGGAGCATTCTTCCCTGCCACCCCAACAGACCTTCCTGCACCTGTTAAACAATTATGTGCCTTGCTTCAGCATAACCCAGCATGAACATTGTCATAAACTGTCACTAGATAACTGAGAAGCTGCTTTTGAAAAGTAAATGTTCGATTCAACACATGCATAAAGGCCATTTCAGCCAGTTCTTTCAAGTACTGTACTTATGTCCACTTAATTTAATTTAAACAACAGCCTTTTCTTTTTTCTTTTGCTTTTCTCAAGCTGGCAAAATAGCTGCTTCTAGAAAAGGGGCAGCTAGAAATATTGTTTTGCCTAGATATAATCCTGTGTTTCAGAGGGCCAAAAAAAGACAATATGTGGAATGCATGATTGCATTTAATATGCCTGGAGGCGCCCCCCCCCCCCGCCTTCTATTAACTATAATAGGTTAACCCTTTCCAACCATCCTGCAGTCATGCTATTCTCCCCATGAGTAAATCTACCATCAATTACAGCTTTTCACCCAGCACAAATGGCAACATGAGATGGTTCACGTTTGAGGAGACTACAGCATAGGAGGGAAGGGTTAAACCCCCCCCCCCAAAAAAATACACCATCGTCCATATCCTGCTTCTGCTCTCCCACAGCTTCTGTTTTCAAAGGCGAAGGCAAATTGAATGCAATTCTCTTGTTTTGGCCCTGAATATTTTAATAGCACCTTGGTTTTGACAATGGTAAATCATGGGACTTGTCAATGGTTTGAATTTTTTTATGTGCTGGAAGGCTGATAAGCAATTTATTTTCATTTTCCCCCATTCTGCATGCACATACTGATGTTTAAAAAAGGGGGAAATAAAATATTTTTGTTCAAGGACAAGACTCTTTTAATCCAGGCCTAGTTATACGCTGAATCACTTGAGGAGGAAGGATGACTTTATTTCATTAGGCAGATGGTCTGTGTGGGAAAGTGATCAAAACGGCAAGCCTCGGGATGAATTTGGGCAGGAAACCACTAAAATTAATTCACACTCCAAGTGAAATTACTCTTGTGTTAATAGTAGGACTGGTAACTGATTAAAGACTTTTAGTTAATTAATCATCTGGCTTTTAACAGATTAATCAATTACATTTTAATAAATTGTCCTATTACCAAAATCTCAGTGTCTTTTTCTCTTATTGAAGGAACTGCATGATAACTTCATGATTTATTTAACAAAAGCTACCGTATTTTTCACCCTATAGGACGTACCGTCCCATAAGGCGCACCTAGTTTTTAGGGGGGGAAATAAAGGGGGGGAATTATTTTTCCCCCAGGCGTGGGGCAGGGGAAGGGGAAGCCCGAGCTTCCCCCGACCCCAGCCCCCAAACAGGCAGCTCTCTGCAAGCCATGGGAGCCCAGCGACGGGCTCCCGCTGCTTGCGGAGAGGTCCGTGAAGCCTGGACGCGCTGAGCTCAGCGCGCGCAGGCTTCAGCATGCAGGCAATTCTCCGCAAGCGGCGGGAGCCCAGCGATGGGCTCCCGCTGCTTGCGGAGAGGTCCGCGAAGCCTGGAGAGCAAGAGGGGTCGGTGCGCACTGACCACTCTCGCTCTCCAGGCTTCAGCGAAAGCCTGCATTCGCCCCATAGGACGCACACACATTTCCCCTTCATTTTTGGAGGGGGAAAAGTGCGTCCTATAGAGCGAAAAATACGGTATCTGCCATCCATTGTCGCCAGTACTGTCTAAAATAGCGAAATGCAACTCAAACTGATTTTCTTTTATATGTTGCTGGGTGGTATAAGAAATGGTTTGTGAGAATTATTGCGCATCAGTATTATGTCAGTTGTTACATGATTAGTATGTTAGTACCAGAACCAGTGATTAGATTTGCAGTGTTGAGTGTTAAAAGAGGCAAGGCTTTCTGGATCTAAAAGAGGGGAATTTCAGCAGCTGTAGCTTGTTATGCAATCTACACCCACAGCAGTTCTCTCCATTTGGCCCAGGGGTGGCTAACCTGTGGTCTCCAGATGTTGATGAATTCCCATCATCCTCAGCCAGTGTAGCCAGTAGTCAAGGATTGACATTTAGAGGTCCACAGGTGAACCACCCCCCATTTTATAAACTTGCTTCATATGTTCATTAGCAGTGCTGGCAAACAGAGCATAGGTTGCAATTTCTTGCAAGGCTGAATTAGCAGGTTCTCACCAGTCCCCCATCACATCTGCCTACCAGTCTTACTAAGGACATTACGTGTGTTCCTTACAAAGATTATGTAAATGTACCAGGTTTATTATAAATATCCTCGTTGTTCAACATTGAGCAACCTTTGAAAATCTGCCACAAACAGAACGCGGTTCATAAACTCGACGTGTTTATTTTCATCCTTGCTTACAGATGACTTGAATAATGCCAGCTGACAGGATTAGATAAAGCTTAATATCCTTTTTCAGAAAACCTTTCCTTTTCCCCCCATTTTCTAAAAAGAGGCTTTAAGCCAACTTTTGAGATATATTAAGGAATCAAAAGCTGCATGGAGCTAAATATTAACTACCTCTATGGTGTTTTGTGCCTAAAAGGTTAATTTTGAAGATCTACTTGGTACAAAAAAAAGGACCCTGCTGGGTTTTGTTGTCAGCAGTTAGCGAGAAAGCTTCGGTGTCAACAAGACTTCAAAAGTATACTGCCACAGTGTGGAGAAAGAGACCCCCTGGGGCATTCCTAGTGTGCCAGCCAAATGCCCTCAAACAACAGTGGGATATACAAATATGAAAGATAGGGATGGACTGCAGTTCCTATGATCCCTGACCACTGACCATGCTGGGTGGCGTTGGTTGAAGTTGGAGTCCGACAACATCCAAAAGGTCACAGGTTCCCCTCACCTGTAACTACCTGCCCAAGCTGGAGGTCAAACTACAGTTAGGTTAGTAGTATGTTTCAGCTACCACACTTAGGAGATAGCACATTTTTTAACAGAAGCATCCCCTGGGATCTGCTTCAGTTCTTTCCTCTCATGCCATGTACTTGCATTAAATTGTCTCCCCAACACTGTTATTTGTCCCTGAAGGTGTTATTTGCTGAGTCAGCCTCCCAGCCCCTTTGTGGCTATATTTGATGAAGGAAAAACATGTCCTGTGTAGAGCACAGTCATAGAAAACACACTTTTTATGTGCGTGAAACTACTTGACATGTAGATTTAGCATTAGTAAAGTCTCAGCAAGAAATATTCTCAGCAAGAGTGGCGGTGGGAAAGCTGCGGCCTTCCAGATGTTGCTAGACTACAACTCCCATCATCCATGACTGCTGGCCATGCCGGCTGGGACTGATGGGAATTGGGAGTCCAGCACCCTGTGAACCTTAGGGCAGCCACAGGGATTTTTTGGCCCTCCAGAAATTTCTGGCCCTCTAGAAATAGTTGGACTCTTAATTTACAACCCTAGCCAGGGATTGGTTAGGGCAGTGTTTCCCAACCTTGTGCCTCCAGCTGTTTTTGGACTACAATTCCCATCATCCCTTGCCACTGGTCTTGCTAGTCAGGGATGATGGGAGTTGTAGTTCAAAAACAGCTGGAAGCACAAGGTTGGGAACACTGGGTTAGGGATTAAATTTGGAGCCCAACAACATCTGGAAGGCCACAGGTTCCCCACCCCTGCCTCAGAACTCCAACTTGCAGAGCTTTTAGCTTGAGCTCCTAGCCTCCTGTGCCAGATCTGCAGCCATCATTTATATACAATACCCCCTCCAAAGGTTAGTCAGTGACTCAAGCTATCCTGGATCCTAGTTCCTCCCAGCCAGTTCCTGGCCAGATAGCCAGTTGTCTGCTTTCCCAATATTTGATATGAACCCAGGGATTCAGACTCCTTTTGAGAATCCTACTTAGGGAGTGTGAACCTTTAAACTATGAAAACCACCTATGCAGTTTAGTTGTCTGGAGTGAGCCAGCAGTAAATCACACTGTGCAAGTTGGAGTTAACGCTTCATTAGCAGAAACAGGAGTGTCAGGCCTAATGAGCCCAGCAACTCATCTCTGGTAGGTCTTGCTCGCATGAAGCAGTTGCTGAGACTGAAGGTCTTCACCTCCCTGCAGCTGCCTAAGTGCTGTTCCTCACCAGCAATCTATTGCTTTTTTCCAAGCAACCAGAGAGTGTGTCTGCATGTCACCAACCTCTCCTCTGCCCTTTTCATGCCTCTTCTGATTCTGGGAGACAAGTGGGGAGGGGAGCTTGTTGCAG